AAGCGAGACCCTGTCTCAAAAACAAAACAAAAACCATTTTATGTTTATAAATAATGTGGAAAAGGTCTCATTCACAGACATGGTAAGGATACAACATAGTTAGGGATACCCTTTACAATAAATCTAAAGACAGATTTAGGAAAAAATAAAATTTTGAAAATTTGTGTTTCTGAATGAGGAGAATTGAACATTATGGAGATATATCAGTTCTTTTTAGTTTATCCATTTACCATGGTTACAACCGAAAGCTCAGATTCTTGTTGTTGTCGAGATTGAGCCCAGGACCTTGTACATGCAAGACAAGTCCACCTGCAGTCCTTTTCAATTTTATTTTAAGACAAGGTCCCAAACTTGCAATCCTCCTGTCTCAGCCTCCCACATACCAAGGATTACAGGTATATCCCACCATGTTTGGTTCAGATAATTTTTTTAACTTAAAATTTTTTAAAAATTTCATAGATGTGGGGTTATAAAGGACTATTGTTATAAAAAATATTTTAAATGTATCATATATTAAAAGGTATTGTAAAACTACAAAAATCAAAATAGTATAGCGGTGTAAAATTCAATAATAGAATCAGTGGACAGAATTATGTAGGCTACACATAAACCTAGGAATACGCATACAGTTGTACTATGGAGCAGTAACATCTGAAATTGGGAAAGGAGGCGGCGTCAGTAGTACTGGGATAGTTAGTGCATTCTGGGGTTGAAAATAGCAAACTGATCCCTTCATATCTTTTTCTTATTTAGATAAAATACAGATAAACAATTAGTGTGAAATATGAAGCAAATTAATTAGCAGAAATTTTAGACAAATACCATCTTTTTAGAGAAACAAAAAAAACTATAATGGAAAAGATATCTAATGAAATGACAAATTAATTCTTTGTCAGATGTCTCTTAACTAAGAAAGAAAAGAATCAAAGACTAATTTCCTTGATTTATATTTGTTATTCCACATCAATAAGAAAAAGATTACCAACCCAGTAGGGGAGGGGCCCAAGGATGTTCGCAGCAGGTTTCAGAAGAAACCCTAATGGGAGCGACCTTTGGAAAAGGGGTCAGCCTCACCTGTGTCCTCAGGGCGTCAGCCGAGGTGGCGGGCAGTTACTGTTTCTGCCCTATAGGGAGGTGGACAGTCCTGCCTGAGCCTTCTCAGGGATCTTAGTGAGAGTAGGAATTGGCTGTGAGCCTTTGAGGAGGGGAACTGAGCTTCATCTGTTTCAAAAATCCATAATGTGCTTACCCTGGCTCAGCACTTCTACTGCTAGTTTACCTGCTGGATTCAGGTGCAAAACTGGACCATGATAGGTGCAAGGATGTTGATTTTGTGGAGGTAACAAACAGCACAAGATTATGTGATCACAATTCTAAGTATGTAAATTGGAAGAATTCACATTTAGTTACCAGATTTCCTTTTCTGAAGATGAAAATTAGAGATTTTATTTATTTTTTACTCATCTGAAATTTCTAAATTTCCTCTAACAGGTGATACCTTTATAATCAGAAAAAAAACTGAACCCTGGGTTTTAAAACTACTCATCTGCAGCCCTCAGAAGTCATCTAGTTCCACATCCCAGCCCATTCTGGGCTTCTCCAGGGGTCCCCACAAGAGCCAAGGCGGGCGCGCCTCGGTGACTTTCCCGCCCTTCCCCTGGCCTGGTTCTCCTTAGTTCCCACAGTCCCTGCCAGACACCCTGTTCTCCCTCGGTTCCGTTAAGGAAGGTCGCTGTGTGGCTCCCTGGCGCCTCGGTGCTCCTGACAGATGAGAACACCCCTGAAGGGGGTCATGTTCAGAGTTGGGGAGCTGGGTGGGCACCCTTAGCAGAGCCAAGAAATGAGACACCAGGACTGGGCCACCAGAAGACAGCAGCTGGTCCCAGTGGGCCACCTCTGGGAGTGCAGCCCGTCCCTGGCGCTCACCTTGCTCCACGGGATAGCTTGACTTTTCTAACTTTCCTGTGGGAAATTTTTAACTTGCTCATAATTAAGCTCTTCTGTTTAATATTTCAGGTTGCTGAAGCACATGTGCCTAACTTCATTTTCGATGAGTTCAGAACAGTCCTGTAATTTTTTTTCTTCTACTTCAAATGAAAGGATTGTCCTTAAATCTTCCCATCACTCAAACAGATTTGGAAATGAAACTCAACTACTCACGTAACTACTTTTCCCTCCATTGTGGGAAACGGGAGACGTTCCTAGGAAAGTGTATCTTACGGACTGGTTAACATCATGGTATTATTTGCAGTTTATATCACGTAGAAGCAGAACACATTTTTGTACAGCCTCTTATAAATACTGAATGTAATTGTTACATATAAATCCATTTAGTTTTATGTTCTAAAGAGCTATTTGTGCAACTCCAAATTTTCAGTAAAATTGTATTGCCAATAACCAAGGTATCTTTCTGCTTTCATTTCAAACACGTGTATTCATTCAGACATGGTGTGCAAATCTGTAATATCAGCACTGTGGGACGTTGAAGTGAGAAGATCCCAAGTTTGAGCCCAGCCTGGATGACTTAAGGACTTAGCAAGACTGTCTCAAAATAAAGTGTGAAGGTCCTGGGTTCAGTCCCCAGTATCGCAAAAAGTAAAAGTATATTCATCCTACACAAACCTTGCCTGGAAGGCGGTACACATCTGCGGCCCCCACGATAGTGGGTAGACACAGGGCAGCAGTGTACCGGTGACTGCCCAGTCGATAGTGTGCTGCAATGGCTCTGGTGTCCAAGGCTCAGCATCTCTTGGCCCCATGCCCTGGAGTTCCAGCAGCTCCTCGGCTCCCTCACTTCCACTGCTTCTAGACCCCTCCTCTGCAGCCTAAGTCCTGTCCCAGTCCCCATAAACTTTTTTGCTTTTTGTTTTGTAACAGTTTATGTCTAGTAAGTATTTAACTCCCTCAAAATCATAACACACTTCTACATGAAAATTACTACCGAGGGGTGCTGCAGTCCCACAGTGGCAACTTGGGACATCACTGGTTTAGATGAAAGCAAGAAAGAGTTTTTGATCCTCTCACTAGCTATGTCCTCACTACCTATGTTCCTGAGAGAGGAACAAACAGACTAAAATGGTTACAGTAAATGTACTCCCAGAGCCCATGTGCTCAAGGCTTGGTGTCTGGCCTGTGACACTACACTGCACTACCAGACAGTAGTGAAACCTTCAGGACACAGGGCTTAGAAAGTCAGTTGGGTCGCTGCAGGTTGCCCTTGAAGGGAGTATTGGGACCGTGCCCCATTCTGCCCCTTCGTTTCTCAGCTGCCCTAAGGTAGGCAGACTTCTGCCGTGTCTCCTACCATAATGTGCTGTTGCTCCTGCCCAAGTGACCATGGACTGAAACCACTCCTACCATGAGCCAAAACAAATCTCCTAAGCTGATAATCCCAATATTTAGTCAGAGCAAGGGAAAACTGAGCAGCAAAGCCTGCGGTCTAAATGTGTCAGACAGTCATTTATCAAGATGCCATCATCAAGGGACAAACTTGTGTTTCTGCTAATGGCGAAACCTTGCTCCAGGCCAGCCTATTTAGGTCATCTGTAAAGTCTGGGCTGAGAACTTGTTCGCGTTCCTTCAGTTTTCTGATTTGAAAGCTATTTCTTTTTGTTGGAAGACCTCAAATCCTGAGGTACTAAAAGAGGAAGGAAGGAGAAGGAACAACAGGACGATGACTTCATAGGTTTTGTTTCACTGTCACAATGAAAATGATTCTAACAGGAGTCAGTGGAGAGGAAGGACAGTAAGCCTCAGACCGAGGCATGAGGAGGTGTCCAGCCTCAGAACAGGACTTGTTTTCAGGACTGGGGACCGCACTTAGGTCTCCTGCTGGCTGAGCAAGAGTTCCACCACTGAGTGCCCTACACGTGCCCTCCCAGGCCCCACCGGATGGAAGGGAATGGCGGGAGCCTACAAGTCTGCAAAGCTGGTGCATGGGAGCAGCCACACCACACAAGTATCTCGCTATTCCATGTCATCTCTGAACAGTAGATACGTGAGATGTTTAATTCTCTGTGAAAAGAAAGGTAGCTGCTGAAAATACCAGATCTGAGAGTTTTTCATCAAAAAATAGAAGTTTGGGGCAAAGTAGAGGGGGATCTCGTGACATCAAGTAAATGAATCCGCTATGTGCTCTGCTGAAACAAGGGGTGCCAAAAACTGATTCCACAGTCAGTTGGCCAATGAGACGTTTTCTCAGCTGAAGGAGGAAACACAAATTCAAATAAATTTTTATTGTAAGTGAACAATCACTTTTATCCCAGTCATTAGAATCGTCCAGGTTATATTTTACCACAATTTATTTTCATGGCATTGAGAGGTTTGCTAAGGTTTTAATGATGCCCAAGACAGAGGCCTCCATAAACCTCTTCAATGCTAATATAGCAAGAGACACTGCTTCTGCAAGTGACCACTAGCTATTTTTTCATTCAGCAAGAGTTGCAAGAGTTGACCGTCTACTGAGTCAATACACTCAGTGAGCCAAGCACTCCTGGAAGTGAGGCAGGATTTTAAGTTTGAGCCCAGCACGGACAACTTAGCAAGAAGCTGTCTCAAAGTGAAAACTGGAAAGAGGGCTGGGCTGCAGTGATAGAGCACATGCTTAACTTGCGCACAGTACTGGGTTCAAGCCTCAGTACACAAAAAGGGCTGGGATGTAGGTCAGTGAGAAGGCACTGCATTCAATCCCCAGAACCACGAAAAATAAAGAAAACTAACTGATTTTAAGGCATTATGCCAGGTCTTACAAGTACTTATTTGTCCATTACCTGTTTCTTGAGATAACGCTACCCTTATTAGTGTCACAGGAAACGTTTATAAAGCCCCTTTTTGCTATGCCTTTAGGGACCTGGTATCTTCAGAGCACTCAGAAAGAGTGGATGGGAATAAATTCCCTTCCCCAACGTGAGAGTGAGCTGAAGAACAGGGCTATGCACTTTCCTCACTTTGTTTTTCTTCCCTTACCATGCAGCTATGCAAAGGAGCCCACAAGGCAGACATGAGGATTCACCGTTTTATTTGGATGCCCCAAGACTTATCCCAAATACTGAAATCAAAAGAAAAATGCAGTTCCTCAGGTTAGCACAAACTTACGGTCACAATCATTTCTTTTAAATATCTAGCTTATTTTTACCATCCATTTTAAAGTGTAAATTAAGGCATATATTTACATGCTTATATACAAAAAAACTTCAAAACCAAGCAATCCCAATCTTGGTCCAAGAGTTTCCCCTTTAGAAGTAGTACAGTAAAGTACTATGCTAGATACACTTTTTACGCTTCAGAAAAGTCTTGTAAGACTTGGTGAGTTCAAGTGGGTCCCCGTTAAGCTTCATGAATCACGTATTTCATTTCTGAGTAAATGAGAGGAAATATGACTGAACACGCTTTGTAAATTACAGCACCACTACTGAGAAAGGCTCGGGGTTTTGTAATCCAAGGTTCCGATTTAAAGCAAAAATACATGGCATAGGCTGCGACAGCAAAGAAGTGTCCAATTAAAACTAGCGGGTTTGGCGACAACCTGTAACAGAGGAAGAAAAACATTGGGTGAGACCCAGAGACTGAAATTCACTAATGAAAGGTTCCAATTATGTATCATCTATAAAGCACAATACCTATAATACATTTCAGAAGACTTTACAAACTTGCCTGCCTATTACATTTGATGGCAAGAACAAAAGATTTTTTCCAAGAAATTAGGGTAATCTCTTTCAGAGAAGCCAGTATCGCCTCTCCACTCCTAAACTACGTATTTTAAGCTTTTTCTTTCACTGCTCATGACGTCCCACACTGAAATACTAGATGTCCTCGCCTGTCAGAACCTAGGCTTTTCAGGAGGACATTCAGATGATAGATGAATGAAAAATGACTCAAAGAATTTCACTTTTCAGGCTTTTTCAAGAATAGTTCTACATATGTCTACACTGTCAAACTGAGTTTCGTGAGTTCTATACTTCAAATAATTTTTACAATTTGGGTCTTGTATAAAAGAAACCATGTGACATTTAAGCTTGTGTGCTTGATTTACTTCACTTAACATTGTAGTCTTCAGGTGCATCCATATTCCTAGAAATGATCGAATTTATCTTTATAGCACAGCAGTACTCCATTGTGTATAAATACACAATGTTTCCTTTATCCATCCATGTGTTGATGGGCATACAGGCTGCTTCTAAGATTCAGCTATTATGAATTGTGCTGCTACAACCATGGGTATGCTTGTATAAAGAGCAAAATGAAACATAGAAAGTAGGGAGCCATATCCTTCTCACATGGGAAAAAGATCAAGAGATAAAGGGGATTAAAAAAACAACCCTCCCTCTACCCCCACTTCTGGATACTGTTTCCCAAGTGGGAAACAGTGTTTACCATTGCCTTTTTTCAGTTCATGGGGCCACTTTCTGACCGAGACACTATGGCTAATAAAATCACAAAATGCATAAGGGAGAAAGATTTCCATACACTATTAATAGACCTAAGAAAATCTGGAAAATGGGTTTTCTCTCAGAACAACTTACACAGAAAGCAGTCCAACAGGACCAGCAACACACTGTCCGCCAAGTTTGAAATAAAGAAAACAGGCTCTTCTTAGTTGATGTAAGGAATCTAAAATAAAATTTAAGTTACTCTCAATCAAAATACATATTTGCAGTGATAACGATATGTCAGAAAACATAACAAATACCAAGCATTACAGATAATTTTTAAATATGTAGTCCTGAAATGTTAACGTTCAAAATTTCTTTTAAATTCCATAATCAATATTAAGGGTGGTTAAACACATAACAATAAAACTGCTTCTGTTAGTAAATGATTGCTAACATTTAGATCTCAGAAATTATGTTTATTTAAAGTTATTTGTATGATTTTTGTTGTAAGTTCATTAAATGATATAAAATACTTTAAGTTCTTTATTACTACAAAATAACACAATTCTGGAAATAAAATTACCACTTCTTGAGATGCCCAATCCGTGTCTCCATGTATCAAGTAAAAGCAACAGCTATTAATGTTTTCTCTGTATAAATTTTAAATACTTTTCGAAGTAATTCATTACTTTGAATGTTTAATAATCCAGTTTAATAATCAATAATCTTTCTAAAAGTTTAGAAGGTACACTTAGATTTTTCTAAACATCTTTTAAAAGATGCAGAAAAAACTTTTCTTCCAATAAAATCTGTTCCTTCCCCAATCTTTCATTAAGTTAATGTTGCTTTGTTGGTAGATTCCAATTTATAATGGAAGAATACAAGAACTGAGAAAAGCTTAGAAAGAAAAACTTACTTTATATTTGCCTATCCAAACACTAACTTCCATGCCAATTTAGCAAGAGAAATTGGTTCTGCAAATCACCATTGTTTTCTTTCCTTCAGTAAGAGTTAATGGTCATAGAGGATACAGAAAGCATTTATGTTGATCGTCTTGCAATCATCATCAAAGAGATCAGAAAAAAGGTGAGCGCATTTTGATGTCAGATTTTCTCATGAGCAATGTTCAACCATTTAGACTGACCATTACTTCTTTCCAATATGGAAACAAAAACAAAAGCATAAGGCTATTTCATATGAGCAAAGGGTAAATGCACTATGCTACTTGTGCATTTAACAGAAGAGAAACTCTGAACTTGTTTTGAAGTTCATATTTATTTTCTAAAATATTACCCTAAAAAAAAATTGAAACTAGTGTTCAGGAAGAAAAAGACCACATGGCCTGTTCAGACACAGCTAGAAAGACCTTCTATCACAAACTTGCATTTGAGGACACGCACAATCTAATCTGGACCAGAAGAATTCAAAATAATGAATGACTGAGGTATTGCCATTAGGAACAGCAATGTGTAAGGAAAGTCAACAGCCTTCCAGATCAAGTAACAGAATACACGAGGATTACAAACTGAAAATCTTGCTCCAGCATGGAGTTAAAAAAACTACTGGTACCAAGTTGGGCGTGGTGGCACATGCCTATAATCCCAGCACTAGGGAGGCTAAGTCAAAAGGACTGACACAAATTTCAGGCCAGCCTGGCTATATGTTAAGTTCAAGGCTGGCCTGAATTACATAGTGAGTGAGACCCTGTCTCAATAAGCCAAAAATAAATAGACCGTCAGGCAAACAGAACTACGAACTTAGTAGTCAGCAAACTGAATAACACTTTGATTTCTGGATTAGTTACCAATCTTTGTAATCAAGTTCCTTTGCTATGCTAAAAAAATCTGCGAATTCAGTATCACACATTAAAAAGTATCTACACTTACCGTCTTTACCGGAAAATAATTCATAAAGAGCCTGGGCAAGGATATTCACAACAAAAGAATGAGAACTTTTTCTGGACCAATAGAATGATTTTTTAGCCTAGAAATGAAAAGGAAAACTTATTACATAGTAAGGGCAGAAAAAACATAAACTTTATAATCCCATCACATTGATATTTTTATTGTTATCCTGAGCACTATAAGCAAGTAATATTGCCTTATGTTTGCTGTTCACCAAAAATTCATTTTCAGAGCTACAGGTTATATGACTCTTGCTAGAGTGTACTGTCCCTGGGAATCCAGTTTTATGTTATGTTACAATACAGAAATTCAGGAATTCTGTGAGATTCACAGGTTGCAGTTCAGATTCTTCAAGCCTGAACAAGACTGCCTAAGAATGATGAGGCACATGCTCCCAGTGCAGATTTCCCACCAAAGCTGTGAAGAGACAAAAACTATTTTCGTTAAGAATAATCTAACAGCTTACCTGCAAAAGAGCTGCATCATCGTAAAGGTCAGGGATCCCCTTCAGCAGTTTCCGCCACAGGTTCACATCTTTCAGAGCAACAGTCATTCCTCCGCCAGTGAGAGGGTGCCTCACATTATACGCATCTCCCAGAAGAAGAACACCTATGAAGAGAGATGACTAAGATTATGATGTCCTGTACGAGTTTACTGAGACAAAACAAAGAGAGAAAAGATTACTTTTATTAGCTTATAAACATTGATACAAGCGGATAAATAGGAAGAATGTACAAATACAAGGGAATGAATAATGGCTCAACTTTGGTGGGGCAAAAGTTTCAGAGTTGATTCAATCCCTCTTTATTTGGTAATATATGACAGGCACTGAGGTTATCAGGAGAACAACAGTATCTTCGCCCTCATGCGACTCACACACAGATGTAATGTCAAAGCCAACAATATCAACACATTTATTCTTTTTCAAAAGAAAAAGGCACAGACATAAAAAGTCTTCCACAAGACAAAAGCAAATCAATGTCTCTCACACTTCACAACAGTGGCAGCTGCCAGTGCACTAAAGAGAAATGTCTGTTACTACATTTTGAAGGGAAAGAAAGTAGCCCTAGGAAGACACCCAATAACATAGTTCAACAGAAGGCAAAGCGTTCTCAGTCATCAGATGTTAGACTCTGCTCACGGCGCATGTGAAAATTAACCTCCTGAGTGAAAACTACAGACGTGAGAAGCCCACAACCCAGCTCCAAGGGCGTCCTTTGATGGAGCTGCCAGCTGCAGATCCCTAGTCCTTTGTCAGCCTGCTCAACGACCTGTGACAATGCACAAGCACTGATTTAATTTTATCTCTGAGAGAAACACACGATGATAATGTCAAGTTTAGAGAATTATGGAAAATTCTTTTCTGAACACTATAATGTAATTACATACATAACTAATTTTAGAATATATCACTATATTAATATATTAAAAAGTAGCTTCTAAATGTTATTTCAAATGTTTATGTATTACTCTGATACCTGCAAGACAAAGCCCAATTTTTCTCCTCTGCTCCATGCAATATTCTCAAACCCACCAATCAGAACACAGTCCCACAGCATAGTGCTTGCTTCAGCTTGGCATCAGCTCCATTCTGCTTTGCACTGTAGTCTGTCTCCACGGCTGGCGGTTCATTACGCCCATGTGTCTGTGGCTCACAACCATCTTGTCACACCCAGGAACCCCGTTCAGACCTGCTCCATGTCCAGCGGTGTCTGCACACTGCCCCTCAGACGCCCTGTTACACTTCACACCCAAATGTCAAAAGTGCACTCACTGTCTCTCCCCACACTTCCCTAAACTTAATTTTTCCCATTCCAGTGGCGGCAATTGGCTCGCAAAACTACCTGTGATCAGTAGGCCTCACTCTCCTAACATAATACCCAATTAATCACCAAGTTTTATGCACTCTACCTCATAGATATTATCCATTCCTGACTCTCCATTTTACAGTCCCAAGTTTTACCATCACTCATGGAAAAATTAAATAGCCTCACTATATGCTTCAGTCTGAACTTTCTTCCACACTATCTTCTATAACAGTGTCAGAGTAGTATTTCTAAAATAAAAGTTTAGTGTCACCACCTTAAAACTTTTCAATGAACTGAAAATAAATTAGTTCAGTAAAGTTTCAACGTACAAGATAAATATGTAGAAATTAACTGTATTCCTACATACGAGCAAGAAGCAATCTTAAAATTAAACATACTCATTTATCATACCATAAAAAGTAAAATACTTATGAGTGAACTGAACAATGTAAAGCAAAATGTACACTCTGCTCGAAGTATAAAGTACTGTTCAAAAAAATAAGCCATTACATTCACAGTCAATTGAATTTTGACAAAAGTGTCAAGAGAACACAGTAGGGAATGAAAATGTCCTCAACAAATGGTACCAGGACAATAGGATAAGCACATAACAAATGAAGCTGGACCCCCTTACTCACATCATACACAAAACTGAGTTCAAAATGGATCAAAGACCTAAATTAAAAGCTAAAACTATAAAACTCTTAGAAGAAAATACAGGAGTATTAACTTTGTGACCTTTGACTGAGCAAAGTCTTCTCATATATGAAATCAAAAATGTAAGACAATGTAAGGAAAAGTAAAACAAACTTCGGGACAATTAAAAACATGTACTCAAATGGATATCATCAAAAAAAGTGAAAAGAAAACCCACGGAGTGAGACAAATTTTGTAAATCATGTATCTGAGAAGGGACACGTACCTAGAACATATAAATAACCCTTAAAACTCAGTAATATTTTAAATTTGCCCAATTAGAAACTGCAAAGTCTGAAAAGAGATTTCTTCCCAAGAAGATAAACAGATGGCCTACGAGCACATATATCATTGTGCATGAGAGACCTGCACACTACAAGCACAATGAGGAAGCACTTCACACCTAACAGGATGGCTAGGAGTGCAAAGATAAATGATGTGGAGAATGTGGAAAAACTGGAGCCTCCTTCGTGGCCAGGAGGATACAAAATGGGCCGGCTGCTTTGGGAAATAGTCTAGCAGTTCCTTAAACAGGTGACCCAACAATATCAGTCCTGGATATACTCAAGAAAAATGAGAATGTTTGCCTACACAAAGACTTGTTCACAAGCACTTACAGCAGCATTATTTGTAATAACTGAAAAGTGGAAACAACCCCAACACCTATCAACTGAGCAATGGGTTAAAAAAGTGTGATATATCCATACAATTATGGAGTTTAATTTGTCCATAAAAACATATAGAGAACTGATTTATGCTACAACAGAACTAAACCTAAACAAACAACAGAATAACATGAACAAAAAATATTATGCTAAGTGAAAGCCAGTTACAAAGGAATAATACCATGTGATTCAATTTTACTGAACTATCCTGAATAGACAAATCTAAGACAAAAAGTCAATCAGTGGTACCTGAGGGCTGGGTGTTAGGAGGGAAAGCGCTAATGGGTAAGGGGCTTCTTGGAATAATAAAAATGTTCTAAATTTCATCATGCTGGTTGTACCTATCTGTAAATACACTGAAAAAAAACATTGAATTATATTTTTTAAATAGATTAACTAAGTGATTTGTGAACAAAGTTGCTACCAAAAAGAAAACCTGAAAGGCTTTCCATTGTCTATAGGATTAAAACTAAATGTTAAACACTATCCCACCTATCTACCCCTAAGGTACCTAAGCCCTAGGCACCAACCACAGGAAGCACTAGAGTTTGTTCAAAGTGCCATCGTGTCTCGGCCTCCTGGGGGCCACTGCAGATGAGATTCCATCTACAGAATCCCTGCATCTCACTGTCCACTGATGAGCTCCCACTAGGCTCCCAGCACCAATGCTGGCTTTCTTCCTCAACAACACGCCCCCAGCCAGCCTTCTACCTTGCAACTCATCTCCCTGCCTGGACACCCACCTCTCCAGTGACTTGTGGTACGTGGATGAGCTGTTACTACAAGCCTCATCCCCAGTGGTAGGAAATTATCTTCTACATTTGTAACCAGAGTACTTCCTTCTCTGTTGTATTTCCAATGACTGACACCAAGTTAATACTAAATACTAACTAAACAGATCATAACATTGTTCTATATGATTAAGGTCCCAATCCATAGTACCCAGTTCTCCTTCTCATGTTATTCCCACCAGTATTATTTTAATCTCATGTTATCTGGGATTTTATAAAGTCAGACCAACAGGATAATACCTCGCTTGTTTACTGGCGAAGAAGGAAGGAAGGTTGCTGGCATCGACCTCAAAGGAGAGTTCTGAGAGGCTTCTAGGAATGGTTCCTTCAGGTGATCTGCAATAAACCCCAGCCACCCAAATAAATCATTCATAACACTTCAAATTATCACACATTTTCCTACCAAGTATAAGCAAACACCTACTATACATACATCCCTTGTGATAAATCAAGAATTAGTTATTAATAGTAGTATTCATTAAGCACCTAGCTATTCATGCTAAGGAATTACTAAGCAATCCAAGAGAAAATTAATGGAAACAGACATGTATGCAGCTGAATGAGCAGATATTATACGAAGACTAAGATAATTTTATGTGAGATGTGACAAAGAGAAAGCTACCCAACTCTCTTCCATCGTTTACTAGCAATTGTCAATATTTAATTTACTGCAACCAACATACTCTGACAGTAAGAGACAAAACACCACCAATTCACAGCTAGCAGGAGGTGTGTGCTAGAAAAAGAAGTAGATTTGGACAGAGACATAGGCCATCTCTACTTCTCTGAGCTTCGGTTTATCTATAAAATGAAATCAATGGATCAGCTCATCTCTGAGGTATCTAATCTGAAAGTTTTGTGCTTCTACTTACATAGAAAATGAATCAGGATATAGTTCCCAGTATGAGAATGGAAGAGATACGTATGTTGAAACTGTTCCAGTCACACAAGGAGCAGAATCTGGGTACCCTAACCAACATAAATATGGACCTACAGTTTCAATGATTTCAGGTCAGCCTGTTCCAACCTCTGGATTGGAAAAAAATAATAAACTGAAAGTAAAAAAATTATAAATATATATAAATAAAGTGTTAGGTGATAGACTATCCTTTTCCTAAATAGTTATCACTACTTTTCCCTTCTGAAAGCTTCAAAAGTGGCTTAACAAAATTCACTGAAGTGTTTTCATATGCATATGTTAAAAATGTCTTTATTAAAAATCGAAGGGGCTGGGGATTTAGCTCAGCGGCAAAAGTGCCTGCCTGGCAAGTGCAAGGTGGTGAGTTCGGTTCCCGGTACCGGAGAAAAACCAAAAAAAAATAAATAAATAAAAATAAAAAAATAAAAATCGAAGTTTGTCCGCTTCATTGCAATTTACTTTTGTCAGTATCTTAGTCAATTAAATAACTTTAAAAATCATCCAGAATTTTTGTTTAAAATACACTCAGAATTAATTTTTGTTACTGTACTCATAATTGATAACTAAGGTTTCCCTTCAATTTTATTTTTTAAAAAACCCTTGGGATCAAACCAGGACCTCACATATGCTAAGCACACACTCTGCCACTGAGCTATACTCTAGCCGTTTTGTCCAGTTCCTGGTCATTTCTCTCCTGCTTCTTTCCATTCTCAAACGCAGACTCGAAAACCTGGTACCATCTAAAATTTTTGAGGGCTGAAAAAGACATTCAGAGTTTGGATTCTGAGAGCATCTCAGATTTCAGTTTTCCAGGTTAGAGATGCTCAACCAATTTAAGTCAATGCACATATTGTACAATCCTAATGGTCTGAAAAGAAACACCTCTAGGACCAAACATTTTGGGTAAGAATAATTAACCTTTAGTTTATCTTTGGCAAGGCCAATTAATCTCTCTGAACCTTAGTTCTCGTCTGTAAAACTGGAGGACAAGAATCCCTCCCTCCTAGGGTAGCTGCACACACGAAAAGAAATGACATTTGTAAGACAACTAGAGCAGACATGAAGCACCAAACAAAAAAGTAATGAAGTATGAGAGATATTGCAAGAATTTAAAATCCTTAGATGATGATGCAGACTCCCTTAAAAAATACTGCATATGCCATATTGTTAATTATTCTGAAAAAGCTTCATTTAGTATTTTGACAAAAACACACTAAAACGACTTTTTTAACTTAGAGGTCATTTTCTCCTGTATGTGCTAGTTTGAATAGTTCGGTCCCAGCATGTCTGGTTGACCAGAGGTATGTCTAGATATCCCCTCAAAGCCTCATGCGGTCACAGCGGGCGTGAGCTGGAGTGTGTGATGCCGGATTAGGATGTGTGATTACTGAATGAGTCCACTGACTTTGGGCACAATTCTGCGTGTGGGTAATAGAAGGCCCACCCTGGGTGTGGGTGGCACCACTCAATAGGCAGGTGGCCTGGAAGGGATAAAAGAGAGGCAGGCTGCAGCACTGCTGCCTCACTACTTCACTGCTTTTGCCCACCATGACCTATTTCTCCTCTGTAGCGCCTCTTGGCATGCCACCCTGCCTTGGAGCCAGTTCACTATGAACTGAACTCTCTACAGACTGTGAACTACAAAAAACCTCTCCCCTTTTAACTTTGAGTATTGAGTATTTTGTCTCAGCAATGAGAAAAGCAACTAAGACAGGAGGCACTTTCCACCTACCATGTTTACCACTGGCTTATCTTAGGCATTGCTCAGGAAAAACTGGAGAGCGAGCCTTTGGTGAGATTTGCTTTCAGAGCAGATTACAACGGCAGTAAAATTTTTTCTCACCAGGTACTTGTGGGTAAATCTGTTCAGCCATGTATTCTCTTAAATTCCTTGGCCTTTCTCCACGAATGTCAACAAGTACTCGAGTTTCACTGGATGAAATCTGGTAGATAAGAACTGGGCTTGGATTAAGTAAAAGAAGTTCAGCATAATTGGGTTCAAACTGTGGTGCGTTCTAAAAAAATAAAGAAATAAGCATTTTAATGATTTTCACATTTCAAGTTGCTGTTGCTTTTCAACAACTGTGCTCCGCAGTACCTTCATGAGGAAGCCAACAAAGTGAGATGAAACAGACGCTTCAGTGGAGATCAAGTTTTTCCTGAACTTGGAAAAAATCCCATCTGCTACAACAGTCAAAGGAGCATGGAGTTCCTGCAACAGACGCAGAATACACAACGGTAGAAACACACAGTAAATGTCCATTCTTAAAGAATGTGCATAAGCAGATTTAAAATTAGTATGGGAAAACATTAAAGAGGGCAGCCAAGTACCATGTGGATATAAGGTAATACATGGCCAATCTCCAGACACCTCTGTGAACCTGACATTACTTCTCTTCAAGTACTCCCATCAAAACCAGCAGGGAGCCAGGCATGGTGGGGCACACCTGCAATCCCAGCATTGGGAAGCTGAGGCAGGAGGATCACTGTAAGTTTGAGGTCAGCCTGGGTGACACAGTGAATTCAAGGCCAGCCTGAACTACATAGAAAGTCCTTGTCTCAAAAAATAAAAGAAAAAAACCTATCAGAGCTTACCTCCACATTAACAGACGGGGGAAACAACTACAAAGCAAGCAAGGGTGACACAAGGTGGAATCTCATTACCAAGACCATGCACTAGGCATATTCACCCAGACTCTTCAGACTTTGCATAGTACTTTGGAATCAGTGACTAGGGCTTAGAAAATGTTTACTTTAATGGCTCTGTGTACTTATATTATTATGCTATAAGAAAGAGATCCTAGCAAGCCTCTCCTAGAGGTCAGTTTCTAGGAGGGGGACCCAATGGAGCCACCTGGAAGGACCGCACAGCCTTTCTCGTTAGGTCAACATGAGCACAGACCAGAAATTACTTCACTCTGTTTCCCCAAAGATTCTCCCTGATCTACCTAGAACAAGGTGTATACAGTGACACTTACAAATTAAGAGGTAAATTTATGTTACATGTATTTTACCACAAAATGTTTTAAATCAGCAAGGCTGACTCACAGACCCTCTTACTTGTGCCTTTCTGATTTACACAACCACCCGTACTGCCCTCTGTTCAACGCCGAATCCCTCATTTTCCTTCCTTCCAGCCCCTCCTGGCTTCCCTGCTAGGGTGAGCTCTGAACGCTGGTACTGCACTGAGTTCTGTTTCTGACGCTCATGCAGGGCACTCCGGGGGCTCCACACAGTGCGCCACAATCTGCAGCCCCTCCTGCTGCGCCAGGCGAGTACAGTCCACTCAGTGAACACTAAATGAGTACATGAGTGCACCTACCGTCCTAAAAGGACACTAGAGAAAGAAAGGGCACTGGCTCCTAGGAAGAGATGACATCTGACAAACCTCACCTTGACATCTCCAGTCTCTTTGTCTTTGTACCTTACTCCGATCACAGCATCTTCTTCCTCTAGTAACTGCAGTGCAACACCTTCAATGAACTGGGCACTAGAGGATAAACACACAACACAATTTCTACAGAGCACACTCAGGCAATCTAAACTAGACATACACTCCTTACTTTTCATAGAATAAGGTCTAAAATGACAAAAAGAAAAAGCATCAGTGAGTTTCAGGAGTATGTGTGATTTCTACTTTGTAACTTACTTATGCTGAATAATACTACTGATGTAAGGGGCTGGGGATTTAGCTCAGTGGCACAGCGCCTGCCTGGCAAGCACGAGGTTGTGAGTTCGATTCCCGGTACCAGAAAAAAAAGAAAAAAACAAAAAATACTACTGACATAATTATTTTACAAGTAGTTTAAAAGTCACATTAGACTTGTAATTAACTTTTTAAAAATGCATGCTGAGAAATGTTACATACACATAATTCATACACAGAGGTGGAAAATGAATTGCTGTTTATCCAACAAGTTCTTAAGAGTAGTTATATCCAGTCAGAATATCCAAGGTAAATTCTATGATCTTTACATTTTGGTGTATTTTTCCATTTTTACACAATGAGCATATTCTACTTCCACGGGTATCACGTACTTTCAGTACTAAGGATAAATCCTCTTCTTTCACTTGCTTTGTCAACACAAGACTATGTCAATCACATGAGTATTCTTATGCTTACGCTTTCCTTACTGAGAGTGCTACAAGGCTGCAGCAGACAGAAGCTAACAGGGGAGAGCAGCCACCAGTCCTGCCACGCTTGGTCCTCAGTCAGAGCAAGGAGACTTTCTCCTCAGAGCCCTCCGCCCTGACTTCACACAAAAGCTGTCAAACCACAAACCAAACTCCCAAGTGGGCACTCTTGGATAGGTGCCCTAGTTATAATAAGTTTGTCCTCTAAATTCCAAAAAAACAAAAGCATGCAGTTTTTATATAATCAAAGGAAAATTTTCTATAGTTCTACATCATTCCAAAGAAAATTATGATAATTCACTAAATGTACAGTCACTAAATGCAGTCTTTTAACTTAAGGTTATGTTAGTGTACCATTGTTCTAGACTCTGCCCAGAATCTCATGAAGATTTCCAAAGCCTTATTCACACAAAGGCCAAATTTAACCCTTTAACACTGCATATTTGAAGCTGTAGTCTTACTTGGGTTCTGCCATAGCTGCTTTCCGGAGATTCATGACGAATCTTCCATGATGAAAACCTCTCCCACTCTGCACCTGACTGTTTTCTAACACAGGGTAGTTAACGTGGACCTCTGACTTGCTTTCCCGATCATGAAGTATATAGCCATTCAAACACTGGGCATCAATACCTTCTACGGCATCTGCAAAACAATTCCATGAACATGCCCACAGTCAGTCACTAACAAGAAAAACACCAAGACAATGAAAATAAGTTTCAGCTTTACAAGACTACAGGTCATCTGGGGAACTGCACAATTAGTATAACTAGTACAGAAACCTTAATGTTTCTGGAAGTCAACAGGTGTCTCAGCAAAACTGTATTATTGCTGGGGACACAGCTCAGCAGCACAAACATCTGCCTGGCAAGTGCAAGGTCCTGAGTTCGATTCCCAGTACCCCCCCCCAAAAAAAAAAACTGTATTATCACTGAATGATTACAGCTTCACATGGTGGCACATGCCTATAATCCCAGCATTTGGGAGGCTGAGATAGGATGATAACAGGGAGTGCAAGGCCAGCTTGGGCTACAAAATGAGTTCATGGCCAGCTTGGACTACATCAAGCAAGCAAGGAAGCAAACAGTACAATTATTCAAGTCTGTAATTCCACTTCACCTCAGAGTGCCAAGCAAGAAAATACAACATGAAATAAAATAAGCCATAATCCTGCCATGAGGGTAATTTGTTCTGCCCATAAAGACTTAGGGTTGTGCCGCAGGCCTGCAGGGCGACAGCGTTCTGGGCCACAACGGGGTCAGCAGGTGTCACTGGGCTCCGAGGAGTGACTTGGGGCACAACTCCTCCGAGGCTAGCGCACTGGTTCAGAGGCAGCGGACCACACAGGGCACAAGGACTTCCAGGACTACTGCATGAGCACTTTTGGGACCCATTAGCCAACTGCTGTCTCCCAACTGCTGCCATCAATGACACAGAAAAGTCTCCAGAGTCTCGCTGGGTGGATGACATTTGCCTTCTGTTGCTATTCTTTGGCATTCGTGAGATTTGCCTACAGGGTACAGACTGGAAGCTTGCTTTTGTTTGCATGCCATAAAACAAAGGAAGCAGCCCAGCTCTTTCAGGGATGTTAGCTGATCAAATACTAAGAAGACCACGGAAGAACCAGCTCCTTAAGGGACAGCACCCCAGCCACTGCTCCTGCCTCACGGATTTCATCAGCCTAAATAAGTCTTGCTATGGAGAAAACACAGAATGCTATTTTTACTGCTTCTCCCATTTTTATAGAAACAGCCAGGAGAATCACTGAACCAACTCTCTGGTGCCTTATAATACTGTGTATTTCATTTCTCTTCATAAAGAGGAGCTCAAACTATGCAACTAATGTAATAATTTCTCATGAGCTTTATCTGCAGTAATATGTATTATCTATTATTAAAACTAAAGAGAACAAAATTTTGTAACTAGTTGCACTTGAGTACTCAAAATCTTTCGTTTTTTTATTTAATGACCACATATCATCCAATAGCTGGCCACACACCTAAAATCTATTTCCTGTGTTTCCAAAGTATCTGTGTATTTTCATGCTTAATAGCTGATGAGTGAACAAACATCGCGCCTCTGGTCACCTCCTCATCTGACTGTTCCCCTACTTCCTCACCTCCAGGTCCAGACAGACTCCACAGCCAAACCCCTCTTCTGTCTGCACATCCCGTCTCACTGCCATCCTATTTCTTTTTTGTCATTCAAAAAGCTCAAAGATAGTCAAAAGAATAGTTTTCTAGTCTTAAATTTTTCAACTGCCAAGTCATTTCAATCTGTTTTCTTGTCAATGTCATAAATTGCCAAATCCGTGCCCATTTTCTGTACTCACCTTCCCTGCCCCTTGACCAGCAGACATGAGAGCTCACCTTCCCTTCCTGATGTACACCCACCCCTCCTCTGAGAAGAAACAAGCAGCTTTGTTGGGCTAAGTGACAGCAAACAGTCCCAGCGCTCTTCCACCCTGCCAGTTCCTTCCCAGTCTCTCTTGCATGCTTCTCTCCTTCTACTCAATCTTTAAACATAAGACTTCCCCAGGGCGTAGTTTATTCTGCCTTCTTGTTTCTTTTGAAGCTCTCCTTAGATGGACTTAATCACTGTCGCAGTTTTCACCTAGCACAAACTCGATACCCTGCTCTAGAATGCTGGCAGGCCCAAACGCCTCCCCTGCACTCTAGACTCACGTATTATATCTGACATCTCTACTTGGCTTTCCCCCAAGTTTCTCTCAGACTTGTTCCTCTCTCTAGGTCTTCTTACAGGCAAATGGTGGGACCACCAGCCAGCTGCCAAGTCAAAACTCAGGAATCGCTCCTGCGGCTCCTATTCTTCAAACCTCACCCCAGCCCTTGCTGTCTTAGTCACTTTCCCATTGCTGGGACGCGATACCCAACACCCAAAACCTAAAGGAGGACAGGTCTGTTTCAGCTCCCATTTCAGTCCTTAGAGCCTTGGCTCCATGCAGGAGGGCACAGCCTAGGGGTCTGGGGAACAACTGCTCACCTAATTGCATCCAGCAAGCAAAGAGAGTCACGGGATGGACAGGGAAGGGAGATATACCCCTCCAAGTCACTACCCCAGCAACCTGCCTCGTCCCACCAGGCCCAGCTCCTAACAGCAAGTCAACTACTTCACCTCCATGAGCCAGTCCTCTTCCAAAGGCCCTTACTAGAAACACACAAGACCCCTGAGGGATATCTAGATATAAACCATAACAGGAAGTCACAGCGTTTCTCTGAGTTTCACCGTGAATCTGTCCACATCTCTCTATCTTCTGCTATGTTAGTCCAAACCACCATCATCCGTCATCTGGATTTAGCAATGAGTTAACCTAGTCTTTTGGTCTGACGCTGTGCCGCTATTTATCATCACAGACGTACAGTCTATTCTCTCTACTATATCCATGCATTCTTTTAAAATGGCAGTCTACAAAGGGCAGGTGTGACCCAGTGGTAAACTGTGAAAGGAATTCTGGACTTTATAATCAGGTGAAGTCAAGACAAGCATTTAAAAAGCAAAATAAAACAAATTTCAGGATTGGAGATGTATGTAGCTCTGTAGTAGAACACATGCTTAGTGTGCGATCCTATGGCACATGTGTTACTGTGTTTTTCCTTTGGAACAAAACACGTTAATGTATGTGCTGTTCTTTCTAAACTAAAACCTCAGTGTTCAGGTTTAAGTAAACCTCAGCGTTCAGGTTTTATTGCAGTGTTGGCGCCCTGTGATAAGTAAGTGGGTTTGGGGTTGCAGTTTGGGCACTCAGCCTCCAAAATGCTTGCCATCACTGCACTAGGCCCTGGGTTTGAGCCCCAGCAACCCCCAAAAGGGTCAGATTGAAATATATACGGATTTAATGTGCTACTCAGAGGAGCTATTAAGGTTTGAGGTCATTACTGTAGATGCAGAATGAGATCACATTACACTCTGGCTCCACTGCAAAGCCCTACATGACCGGCTGCTGCCTACCTCTCCAACCTTGTCTTATACCACTCTTCGTTTGCTCTTCATCCACTCCCTTCAAGCTATGTGGGTCTCCTTTCCAGTTCCTTACAAAATACCACATACATATCTGGTGCCTCCAATACGCCAAGCCCTATTCTGAATGATTTATGTGTATGAATTCACTTAATCCTCGTAATAACAATGCAGTAGAGGCACTTAGTATACCATCAATAAATTAATACACAGAAGGTTGAGTTACTTTAATTAAAGCTGGTTACTTAGGCAAGGTCAGACAGCTTATAGGAGACAGAGCAGGTATTCAAATCCAGGCAACCTAGCTCCAGAATCAATTCTTTTAATTAATATACCGTATTTCCAATCACACATACACCAAGCAAGGAGCTTCTCACCTCCTATTCTGGCTGTAGGATGCACTCTGTTCCTCAAGAATGGACAGTTTACCTGTCTTGTTCACCAATGTATCCCTGGTACCCAGTATAGCACCTCATGCAAAAGTAGTAAATAAATAATTCCTAAATGAGCAGAGCTGGTACTTAAAAGGCATTAGATAAACAGATAAATGATGCTTCAATAAGACTCTAAATAACAGCACTATACCATGTATATAACACATATTCTTCAAATGAAGTCCCCTTACGCTTTCACTGGAATTCTCTCTTCATTCTAGTTTTCCAGTCCTTCGTTTCGACCATTACAATTTTTTGGATATTTCATTATATTTCATCAAGTCCACTTCCTCTCTCTTCATACTACTAAACGCTGGTTTTCTCCTTTGCTCTCATATTCATGTGAATTTGTTGATAAATGAGTATTCTAAATTTTCTAAGTGAAAATACAATGGAACCCCTTTTCGTTAGCCAGTGAAGTCTCAACGATGATGCTTGCTGATAACAAGAATTCCCCTGGAAATCAACACGAACCTACCTCCAAGACCCAGGTCGTTAAGAACACAGCAACCACCAGGCTGTAGAAATTCTCCAACTATTCTGTCAGGCTCTTTTAAATCTCTCTCAATTACTGTCACCTTTCTGCCATCTCTGGAAAGCACTGCCGCAAGAGCAGAACCGAGTACACCAGATCCCACAATGATAACTTCTGGATCATTCAGGGAAGACATTGATGTAGAGGTAGTTGCTCCTATTGAGGTTGTTTCAGAAAGGTGGATTCCTTTTCTGTGCTGTTTAATAAAAAAAGAAATTTTACTTGTGAGTTTGTTAGCCTTAAATCATATTACCACCATACAGATGCACCAGACTTTTGCATCTTAGGCAAAAGCTTGACCCCAAACATTATTAAACAAAATGAACCTCTTATATTTTAAAACCCAAACCATACATAAAAATCAGTGAAGCCAAGGGTGGTGGTGCACACCTGTAATCCCAGCACTTGGGAAGCTGAGGCAGGGGGAACAACACTAATTTAGGCCAGCCTGAACTACATAGTGAGACCCTGCCTTGGAAAACAAACATCAGGGCTGGGGATTTAGCTCAGCGGCACAATGGCTGCCTGGCAAGCGCAGGGTCCTGAGTTCTATTCCTGGTACAGGAAAAAAGTCAAAAAAAAAAAAAAAAAGAGAAAGAAAAAGAAAAAGAAACATCAATGATATCAAAGTAGTGATTAAATGAAAATACATATTATCCCAATAAAATTAAATATATACATGCATTCCTTTTTCCAAACATGGTATTTAGAAAATGCTATTATACAAACATATTTAGAACTGCACACAAGAATAAATGTCCCTAAGGGACTCAAAGGCATATTATAGGGCAAATTCTATCATTAATTACTCAATGCTTTAAATATATATTGAGTAGTTACCAGACATAAATATCTTACAACTTCTAACTTTGTGCTATACTATTTGACACCTTTTACATATTTCTACAGATAGTCACCTTAAATTTTCTCCTTCTGAATTTTCACTTTGTAAAAAAATTTATCTAAAATCACTTTGATATAACAAAAAGACTGTCAAATTCTGGTTACCTATTTATTAACTAAGAATTATTTAAATCCATAAAATTATAAAAGAACAAAAATAACTCTTACTGTTCCTTGGGCTGTGACTTGTTTACAACTTTAGTCCTTAGCCTAAAAGCACATTTTCAAGGTGTCTCTCCCATTTTCCTCTCCACCCTGACACTCTTACAAGCCTAATCAAAGCATTGGTCCTCCAGCTCAGGAACAAGGCCAAATACTAACCCAGCACCAGTTGGACTCACAGGAAGGATGAAAAAGTCCTGTTTGAGAGATCTTTGCCTGCTGAGAATGGAGTTTTTTTTAAATGAACAATTCAGTCTTACAATACAGTTAGGTATTTATTCTTGGATTCACAATTTGAATACATATCAGATACAGAATTGCAAGGAAGCATCTTTCTTGAGTTCTCTGACCTTCATGATCAAGGTAAGAATAAATTCCATTTAAAGATTTTAATAAAGGACTCAGGCAAAGAGGGAAGGTAGAGAGTCTAAAACTCTTTAGAACTCTAATGTTCTAATATTCACTCAGCATGGTGTTACCTTTATAATGGATTTGGGCATTGTCCATTTTTTATTATCATTTCTCATACAGCAATACTTTTCTCTCCTTTACCAAGGAGGGAAAATAAAGTCTATTCTTCACATTATGTCTTAATGGTCAGAACTGGTTATATTCAGGTTGTGGTTCTGGGAAAAAGACACATCCCTTCTTCCTAAAATCTTCCCAATAAACACACACACACACACACACACACACACACACACACACAGAGGCACACACTCCTACAAGGACAGATCTAAAGGAAATCAAGTCTTTCAGACCCATATCAACAGAGAAAATTCAAATAAAAACCTCCTGCTCAACAGCTCACACTCCACACTCCCTAGTTTCTCAAAACAGGGAAAAGGCCCAGGCAGTCACAAAATAGAACCAATACCGACTACTCCAGGTTTTCTACTCCAAAACTTCTCTTCATAGCCTGGAACAGTAAGTCCCAGCCACCCAGACCAGCGCTCAGTAAGTCATCTCAGACAAAAACACCAGTTTTCAAACGGAATTAAGTGCCCTCTTTCTTCCTTCCCATCCCTCCAACCCACACTCACCATGTTACTCTGAACAATGAGTACCTCTCAGACTGCTCCCAACAGCTCCACAGCACCTCCAGGCGAGACTAGTAAAGTTCCACGAACACTTATTAGATAGTTATGGATCAGGCATTTGCAAACGATTAAATGGAATCATCTAATCCCCTAACTACCAGCAAGGGCGATGCTATCTCCAACTAACAGAAAAGACAAGTGGTTCCTGCAGAAACTTGTCCAAGTCTGACAGTCAAAAGTGGTAAAGCAAAACTTCTAAACCAGATCCCCCTCTTCCACAAACCTTCCTAAGCAGTCCTGGAGACATAGCAAAATGACGCAGATCCAGTACTACAGTACTTGATGGACATTCATCCCTTGCTAGGTCCCATGCTATGGTCTCTTGCCTGACATCCTTGCACCCCAACAACTCACCCTCCATTACAGCAAATGAAATGATTTCTTAAAAAGGGGAAATCAAGCACACTGGAAACCACCCACACTTAAAATCTTCACTGCTCTTGGGGAAGTCCAAACACCCATGGCCAACAGGTCCTAGTGATCTGGTCTCCAAGATCTTGCTCCCAGATATCTCCCAACACTGGACTCCTCTGCTCCCTTCCTAAGGACTTTGACTTGCATTTAAGCACCAGCCTCTGATCTAGGCACGTCACTACACCGCGCACATCACAACTAGTAGTTGCCTGGCTAAGGGTACCACTGTATCCTTAGGATTCAACTCAGTACTCCAATGACTGGAGGAGGAGGGCTTTTTTGACCAAGGCTTTAAAATGTTGAGTACTTCTGCTGCTTTTCAAGCTCTGGTCCCTTTCCCTATCACCTGTTACTTCTTACAAGCAGGAGCTACCTAAGCACGTTTCTTTCTTCCCAGTTACAAATATACATCCCCGACCCAAAGACTTAAATAAAATGTCTTATTGTATCAAAGAACGTGATGCTGTCCTTCAAAATGAAATTCTAACATTTAATTTTACCTCTCCCAATCACACCCACTCCAACCCCCATAAGAAGTGCAACCAACACTAAAAGCAACTAAATGTTTTTCATCTTTCCTAATACGGTGTAGCCAAGGCACAATCCAGAGCTCTAAAAATCATTTCGGCCAAATGACAATTTACACCTGAGCATATAAAATGACAGTTTTTCCCTTAAAGCAAATAAAATCCTGGAGCGAGCACCGTCCTAGATTGAACACAACACACTCATGCATTTGCCCACTCTGAAGTCAACCTACCCTCCGGGACTCCAGCTGCTTTTCCTTCTCTGACCCAGGGGGTGACTTGGCCCAGAAGAAGCCGATGACGGGCAAACCCGACAGAACGTCCGAGAAGACAGCGGCCTGGGAGCCGCTCTGGGGGCGGCCGAGGAAGCCCCCGCTGCGCTGGCGACAGCGGTAGGACAGCACCAGGCCCAGCGACAGGAACACCAGCACGCACAGCAGGAGCTCCTTGACGGCCAGGCTCACGAAGTCCCCGCACTTCTTATAAAAATAGGTGAAAGTGGCAATGCCCAGAAAAGTCCACATGGCTAGAGACTTCGGTGGCCCGTGTCACGGCTGCGACTGTTTCCCCTATAGGGTTTTGGTGATCACAGGTTTGTTACTGAGAGGCACGAGCACCCGAAGCACTGCACTGAACACTGTCAGGGGACCACGATGCTGGCGCGATCAGGGTCCACAGCCCCCAGGAGGTCGGTAACAAAGCACGGGGGGCAGGGCTACAGGACCTGGGGCGGGACGCGCGCACCGCCGCCCCGGCGCTCCGGATGGTGGGCCGCGCGCTCCGCTCTCGGCTGTGCCCGACGGCCGGGTCGGGGCTCCGCAGGCGGTGCTGTGTGCGGCGTCGGCTCTGCGCCGCACCGTCCCGCCGTCGATGGGCGGGGCTCACGCAGCTGACGTTCACCGGAGCGTTGCGGGCTCGACAGTTCCCGACCCGGCAACCACCGCCCGGGGGAGGCCCGGTCGACGCCGGATCCAACAAAGACGGCCTCGGCTGCCGCGGGTCCAGACTCCACCGCCGACCCCGCTGCCAGTCGCGACTCGGCGTCCTCGCGCCCGACGGCGGCAGCTCCCCGCGGCCCGCTCGACGTCTCGCTCGCTGGTCGCCCTCCCCGCGCAGCGCCGCCACAGTCGCCCGAGCAACCGCCGTACTCACGCCCTGCGCTCGCCTTGGCCCGCGCCTCGCCGCCTGGGCGGGCTCGCTCCGGGCCAGGACCAGGGGGCGGAGCTCGGGGCGGGTCGGGCCCGCCCCCCACACTGCCGCCGGCGAATGAGGGCGCACACCGCGCGGTAGGCAGAGATGGCGCTAGCGCGCTTGACCAATCGCAGGCGGCGCAGTTCGGGGGCACCACCCGGGAAGGCGGTAGGGCGATGTTGCGTGGTCAGGGTGGGGGCGTGGGGAGGGGCCGGCGGGCCCGACGGAGGCCCCGCCCACCCGAGGCCGGGAGGCTGCTCGCGGTTGAGCGCGCGTGGGGCACGTGAGGGTCGGGCGAACCTGGCGCCTGTGGGCGTGCGCGGGAGCAAGGAGCGGACGCCCGCGGAGTGTGGGCCTGAGAACCGAGGTGCGACGGGGACGGAGGCTGTGCTCCCGCTGCCCGGAGAGGCGCCTCCCTGACGCGGAGGCCTGGGCGCCTTTGCTCACCGCGCCCCACCGGCCCTCACCAGCCACCGCTGGCCGCGGTCCCGCACTTGCCGGAGGGAGGGCTCTGCCTGATACAGTCACTCGTGACACCTAGCTTGGTGCTTTGCACGTAGCTGCTTTTCAGGAGGCGTGTCCTCAATGAAAGGAACGAATAAATGAATGAACAATGAAGGCTGGGCGGTGTAGAAGGAAGACCAGGCCTAGACTTTCAGACCTGGAGCGGTACAGGTGCTGAGCGGCTTACCCTCTCCAAGCTGAGGGCCATTTCTTCGCCTGGCACCTTGTGCCAGACACATACTCAAGAATTTAGGAAAACAGGGCACCTCTCGTCACTGCACCCCCGTTGCCGCGTTTTATCCGCTATTATGTGTCAGAACACTTACAAGGCATCATCTGACCCCCACGACAACCTGATTTTATAAAAGAGAATGAAAGTGACGGGAGTGGAGCTACCATAAGGATCTGGAATGTCTCCCAAAGGTCCCTGTGTGGAAGGCTGGGCACAGCCTGGGGCATCGCTGGAGATCGTGCGACCTTCGGAGGTGGAGCCCCAGCTGAAGAAACTTAGGTGCAAGCGCTCGAAGAGAGTGTGGGGCCTTCCCGTCACCCTCCTTCCAGGCAATGGGCCAGGTGACCTGGATGTGAAACCTCTGAAACTGAGCCAAGTAACTCCTCCCACCTTTTAAATTGTGTATCTCGGGTGTTCTGTCACAACAGTGGAACACTAACGCAAGTGGCCTGACTAGATCACAGCTTGTGAGACATAAAACCAAAAGCTAAACTCGTCTTTACATCTTGTATCTACCCGCTCCCTTACTTTTTTGAGATAGCACCTTGCTAAGTTGCCTAGGTTAGGCTTGAACTTGTGATTCTCCTGACTCAGTCTCCCATAGTGGTACATCACCAGACCTGGGTCCCCACTACTCCTAATTATCAATAAATGCCCTTTCCTGTGTTATAAAACCGTTCCTCCTTTATAAGACTTTCCCCAACAATATTCTTCACTAATATCAAAAAAAAGTGTTTGAAATACACATCAAAGTAAAAAGGATTGGAAAATCAGTTCAATAAACTATTTATTGGTATCTTCTTATTGCTAAAATCATGAGGCTAGAGTAGTTGACAGAGGGGAACACTGTATCGTCGGAGGGGTTATTTCTTCCTTACCCTGTATTCAAGATTATGGTGAGGATTTTTTTATTAAGGAGGTTAAGGTTTAGATCCCTTGAAAACAATGTTCTTCATGTGTTTTTGTCTCTGCAAAGTGATCTTTACAGTGTCAGGGCCTCAATCTTTGGGGCAGTTTCAGATCCACTTCTAAATTTGGAACAAAGAGTATCTGCAATACTTAACGTGAAGCATACTCTGAATGCCTCTCTTGTCTGAACTGAATTAAATGTTATTAAGTACTGCTCAGATTTTTAAATATTGCTTGACACTGCTCATTTAAAAACGGAAATCTCTCAGTGAGTCCTGAAGTGAAAACTGAACTATGACAGCAGGTCAGCCCCTTACTGTCAGAAAATGATAATGCTGTAGAGCAGCCTCATGAGAAATACCCCATCAATGTGATGAAAGCAAACCTACCTGTATGCAGGCAGCATTCTGAGAGCTTGTCGTACATTAATTCATTTTGCCCTGTGCCAGCACTATCAGGTGGGTCCTATGTAGCCCCACTTACAAACAAGGAAATTAATGCACAAAAAATAAGCACGCAGCTAGTGAGTAGCAGAGCTTGAATCCCAGGGCAGGAAATCTAGCTGAGGAGCCTAGGAATGTTTGACTTTATTTTTTATGTCTACACCAAAATCTAGTTATCTTAAACAAACAAAAAACACACCTGTTCTCCTTATTCCCCCAGCTTCGACACCTCTGCTGTCTTCACTGACCTACTCTGGCACGCCAGGTGCTGCCCTCTTCCTTTCTAAATGCCATTCTCAATGCTGAGAAAAAGCCCTGATGAACATGCCCTTTTTATCCACCATCTATCCTTTTAAAATCCAGATTAATTATCATCAGCAACTCCTTCTCTCCAAATTGTAATTCCACCTCCTCCTAGCACTCACCAAACTGTGCTGTAATTATCTATCCTTTTCCAAAGGATTCAAGGCCTTGAGCACTTGAAACTATTACATGGTAAACATTTCTCAAAACATTGACTATAACCTTTCCTGTATTATTTTATCCCCCTACCCTTTTTTTGGTAAGCAAAATAAGCCATTCCTTTTTTACTAATGTTTTTATTTGTAACACATTAGATTAAAGCGCTCAAAACTTTCTTTTACCTTCTCACCCATCACCCTAACAATCTTTTGGAAATGCTAGTCACAAGTGATAGAGACAACTGTATTAATTTGGAACTTTGTTTATTTTCCTTTCCTTCCTGTGGACTGTCTATCAAGCATAACTAGACTGTCCACCAGCCCACACAATGGAATAGGTATATATCAAGTGTGTGCTTTGTGTCAGGCACTGTGCTTGGCTGGTACTGGGAATAAAGCAATACACAAAGCAGAAACAGTACCTGTCATTCTGGAGTTTAGAGTTTAATGTGAAGATAGCAATCAACAAGTAATTAAAGATGTCATCTGTCAAAAAAAGGCAAGAAGCTGCTACTTTATAGTACAAAAAGCTATAAATTAAACAAAGGGTTAAGGAGGACTAAGATGGAATTACTTGAAAGCTAAGATTTTAAAAATTAGAAGTAACCAACAACCTCTGTCAGCGTTAGTGACCATAACTTGCCTCTTTCCCTCTTTCCCACAGTGCAGTTTCACCCTTAGTACAGCACTCAGTGCAAGCAACCAGTGACCACACTTCCCACTGTCGGCGGCACTGTGACTGGAAGGATGAGGGTTCTCTTTCAAACAGGCTAACTTGGTGACTTTTCATAAGTCTCCATGGTGCCTGTTCCTCACCATCAGGTTTGAAAACTGAAAGACACTCAATAATCTGCCACACCTAAATTTAACTTAGTGCTCTAGATCTGAGATGCACTTCATCTTCTCAATCAGGTGGAAATATTGAACTCGTCCCTTTCTCAGCCATTCTTCCTCTTGGTACTGCCAGGTTTGAGGCCCACAGTGCCCACACCCAGCCAACACTGTGGATTCAATTTCCTGACCACATGAAACTGCCAGTTATCAGCTAACTCCGCATTTTGGGTCTCAGCACAGGACTGCACAGGCACTGACAAGCCATCCAACTTAATCATGTATAAAAGCACGCCCTGAGAGAGTAGGCCACTCCAGGGAGAAAAAGTAAGCCTGGCCAGGAGCATTATCCCAAAGAAAAGCTCACAGCTTTTGTAAACTGCAAAAACAAGTGGGGTTTTACTCCAAGAGTGACTCCTTCACAGCAGGACAGAGTTGGAGAAGAAACTCACTACAGTTCCCACCATATTTCCAGAGAGAGATTAATCAGGCACCATTCCAGAAAGGGACTGATTGTGTAGGACTAAGCTGAAGAACAACTATACAACAGCTTCACTCCAGGATTTTGAGTGCTATTCTAACGCAGTGCCTGGATGACAGCTGCAGGAGACAGATGTGGAGCGGTTGAGGGCTACACAGAGATACCCTGAGAAGTTCAAGTTCTGACAAGGAAGGACATGGGGCCCTGTACCCTGTGGTGGGAGGCATGATCTTGCCAGGTGTGGCTTTCAAAGGAGGCTGGTTCTGAAGGTGATGGCATTGAATCCAGTGGTCTGCTTGAGCCTCTCCCCCAACACACCCACACATACTACTTCTTATATCCAGCAGAGACCCATAGTCTGATTGATTGATTTCCCATTTACCAATGGTCATGTGTCTCAGCATGGATGGTTGCCATGGTGTGGGGTCTCTGATGTTGGTGGGGGAGGTGCTCACAAACCCACGGTCTATAAAGCTGGGCAGAGAGGACTGACTTGCTGGACTGTAGGACCTAACAGGAAACCACTCAATGAAAATATAAAGGAATTTTTCTGGCCCATTTTTTTCTCTTTTATTAAGTTTTGGTGTTTGGAGGTTCCCCCCCGTTTTTCTTTTGCTTTTCTCCCCCCGATTTTCCCTTTTTTCTTTCCACTGACTTTGCTGTTTTACTTTTTTCTGCTTTTTCTTCTTTGTTCTTATTTGTTACAGTGGTCTAATACCATTAATTTCCTTTTACTCCTTACTAAGATTTCACTTTTGTCATCTTCCTTTCCTAATTTTTTTAATTTTACATTTTTTATGATATCATTCTTCTTAGCCTCTATCCTCCTACAACCTATTAGCTTTATAAATCTTTAGATGGTTAACAATATGCTGTCCCGATTGAATACTGTTTTATAGTTGGTAGAGGTAAAATTGTTCCATTTAGTGGCTATTTACTATAATTCAATATTTGATGTGTTTTAGGCTTTATGCTATAATCATAGATCTCTTTTCTATGGCTAACATGTTCAAGACAGGGCTATAATTCATATATCTCACTACCTAGTGGCTTTGATTTGAATTCAGTCATTTGATGTTACATGGCTAACCTGTGTGTGCCACTACATTTTGCA